AATTGCATGGGATGTATGATCTGCAAAATATATTAAAGGAGTACGCGTTTTTGAAGCTTTAGAATTTTATCTAAATGTATTTTGGCGGCCTGGCCCCATATTACGATACCATACAACAAATGTGGGAGAATAAGAGATTTGTATATATTTATTAGAGTATTTCTTGGAACGAAATGTCTTAATCTAGAGATGACACCAATCTTTTTGCTTATTTTCGAGGCAACATGATTAATGTGATATTTCCATGTGAGATTACTATCAATAAGAACACCCAAATAATTAACATAGTTTTTACGTTCCAAAGAAGTAAATGTTTTTGTATCATTGTCGAACATCTTCCAATAAACTACGTGATTCATCTTTTTGATATGGATGAAAGATCACAAAGTGAGATTTCTTTACGTTTAAGGACAACTTGTTTGCTGTTAACCAATTAAATATTTTTTCAAGCTCAAAATTTAGTACAGATTCTAATGATTTCAAGTCTTTGTCAGCATAGATCAAATTGGTATCATCAGCAAATAAGTAAAAGCCTAATTTATTTGAGGATTTATAAATATCATTGACATAAATCAGAAAAAGTAATGGCCCCAAGACTGATCCTTGAGGTACACCTGTCAGCGTTTTTTCTTTGTCTGATATACTATTACCAACATGTGTTGTTTGTTTACGATCTGATAGATATGAGCAGAACCAATTGTTAAGAATTCCACGTATTCCATAGTGTTCAAGCTTTCTTAAAAGTATAGAATGGTCTACAGTATCAAACGCTTTTTGCAAATCAATAAAAACACCACACGAATACATCTTTTGATCTAAATTTGTTTGATTTTGATTGACGATATCAAGTACAGCGTGTTGAGTTGATTGTTTTTCACGAAAGCCATATTGATTCTCAAATAACAGATTATATTTTTCCAAAAAATGTTTAAGACGACTATACATAATTTTTTCAAAAATTTTATTAAAAATTGATAGAAGTGATATTGGTCTGTAGTTCGAAGGATCCGTTTCATCTATACTTTTAAAAATAGGGATTATTTTTGCATGTTTAAGTTTCTCAGGATAGATACCAGTTTCAACTGACTGATTAATTAGATTTGCCAAAGGTTCACTTAATATATGTCGAGCGCTTTTTAGGATACGAGTAGGGCAAGAGTATAAGCTACTTGCTTTATTCTTTGGTAATTTCAATATTTCTAATTCAAGCTCTTCAGGGGAAACAAGATTAAACGCAAAAGACGATGAATTGTTAAGCTTTGGCAAATATTCAGTGAAAGAGATTGGGGGGTTTTGCATTTTTGAGGCTAGCTTTAAACCAATAGATGAGAAATGTCTATTGAGGATGTTTGGAATTTCCTTCGCATTCGAGATTATAGTATTGTTTTTTGGGCATCTTAAGGATGTTATTGATCTGATGGTTTTCTTTCTTGGTTTGATAAGATTATTAATTATCCATCTTCTGTAATCACTGTCAAATACTTCAATTTGATTGGTTTACAGGAGTGCGATTAATCATTAATCGCACTCTTGGTGAGCTGTAATCGCACTCTTGTTCACAGCCAATGAAATTCAGCATAGCTTTACAAGTAGCCAATCAGCATTTAGGATACAAAATAAGAATTTGTTTTGTTTTGGGGCGCGAAATTTTTAAAAATGGAGGAATTTGACAATGATTTTGAAAATTTTGACCTTTTAAATGATATATTTGCTGAAGAAAATGACCAACTTGTTCTCCTAGCAGACGAAAATGAACCTGACACAACAAGGTTCCCAAATTTAAGTGAAAACGACATTGAAGAAATTAAAAACGCTAATGTCAAGATAAATAACAGAAAGATCAACTAAAACCTGGTTGAACGTCTGGTCAAATTGGTGTTCTGCTAGAGGAATAACTCAGCCAATTGAACTTTTCTTGTATGAACAATTGGATAAGCATCTAAGCAAATTTTATGCCGAAGTAAAAAAAATGAATGGAGCAGACTACGAACCAGAAAGCCTTCGCGTAATGCAAGCTGCAATTGATCGCTACTTACGTGACAAAAATTACGGCGAAAGTATAATTTCCTCAAAGCCATTTCACCAGTCCATTAAGACATTAAACGCCAAGGCAGCCAGGCTCCGTCAACAAGGGATGGGTAAGCGTCCTAACAAGGCTGAGGCACTAAACCAAAGCGAGGAAGAAACATTGTGGGAAAACTGTTCGCTCAGAGATCACTCGCCAGTCGCGCTGACAAATGCGAATTTTAAGTGTCTTTCTGAACAAATGGGTTTGCGAGGACGTCAAGATCACTACGACGCATATGTGGAAGATTTCACTATTCGTAGACACGACGATGGCTCGGAATCTATTGTATTCAATGAAAATCCCACCAAAACAAGAAGCGGAGGTCTTCGAGTCGCGAAACGAAGTACGAAGCAAGTTATGTGGAGTACTGATGGCGGCGCTTGAGATCCAGTAAGGCTGTTCAAATTATGGCTTTCCAAACGCCCTCCACCAATGCAGAACCAAGGTCCCCTTTACCTGACAATAATTCAACGTCCAAAAAATGTCGATGTTTGGTATACCAAAGTGAGAATGGGCCAGAACACGATCAATAAACTAATGCCAAGAATGACGTCGTCCCTCGAAAGCTCAGCATCGAAAAAGTTGACAAACCATAGCACGAGAAAAACAGTCGTACAAAAACTAAAATCTGCTGGACAACCACGCTATAAGATCAAGGAAATTACTGGTCATGCATCGGAAGCATCTCTGAAAGATTACAATGTAATCAGCGAGGAAGAACGCAGGTAATTGTCCCATATCATCAGCGGTTACAGTGCGACGTCCCAAACAACAACATCAATTCCTCCAGCTTCGATTGTATCGTCTTCCACAGCTTCTATATCTACCGAACAAAATCCATCAATTGTTCCAGTTCAAGCCAGGCAGCAAATTGCGTCTGCATCTAACGTTATCCTTCGGCAAGAACAGCTGGACATTCCCACTATTGTTGACCACAAAATATCGACCCTCGTGTCAAACAAAAACCCAGTTTCTTCGCTGGCTCCAGTTAGCATTGCATACAACAATTGTGTTTTCAATATTGGCAATCAGGCTGTAAACACGAACAATTCAACTGCCAGAAAAAGACGACGAGCTGTTATCTTGGACTCGGATTCAGATTAAACTGAAATAAACTTTGAACATGCTTTATAAAAACTCACGTTGAGACTGTTGACAGTTTAGTGTAGAATAATTTAATTTAAGGAATGTTGTCACGTGATTAACCGGATATAATATCCGGAATTTAATATGTTAATTTGATTATGATAAATTTTAATAATTTGATTATGATAAATTTGTATTTAAATTTGTATTTTCCTCCTCTTTAAGTTTGATTACAGAAGATGGATAATTAATAAGTAATAGAACGAATTAAGTCGTGCAATTAATGCCAAATCATACTCGTGCTTAACAAATCAACCTCCCGCTGCGCGGTCGGTTGATTTTGTAATCACTCGTATGATTTTGGCATTAATTGCACTCCTATTCGTTCTATTACCATTATTTATACCCTCCCACATTTTCTTAGTGTTGGCAAAATTATTTTCAAAGTAATTATGGTAATAGTTTTTCTTACTTAATCGAGTTAAAGTTAATATCTTATTTCTGCAGTATTTATATTTGTCTGTTTCGCTGGAATAGAAAAGCGAATTCTTAATTTTAATTGACTTCCTTATTCCTTTTGTTATCCATGGCTTTGAAATCAATTTAGCCGCACGTTTTGACATAGGTTTTAGGGGAGCATGTTTATTGATTAATTTATGCAGCTTATTGTAAAATATAGAAAAGGCTTTACTTGGGTTATTGCTGCTTGACATGGCAGTATTTAGATTTAAGTCGGAAAGTTCGTCATTAAACTTAGCATGCGAAAAGTTTGAATAATTTCTTCTTAAGATATTATGTTGTCTTGAAATAATTTTGCCTGATGAAACAATGCAAAACTGCGAGAAATGGCCGCTTATATCAGATACTATATTTCCACTGATGATATCGTTATCTGTATTGTTGATAAAAATGTTGTCAATTAAAGTAGCTGTATTGTTATATAAGCGAGTTGGTTTGTCAATAGTTGGAATCAAATTAAAACTTTGTAAAGAGAGGAGGAAATTTTATGCATATTTACATGTTTCAGAGCGGAGAAGATTTATATTAATATCTCCCATTAGGTAAATTAATTTGTTAGAGCTACTTAACTTTTCAATAGTTTCTTCAAAATAAGATTGGAAACGCTCAGGTGAATTGTGTTGTCTATATATTACTCCGCAAATAATATTTGCATTATTAGGGCGACAATTTCGATCCAAAGAGCCTGAAAAGGGTCTTTACCACACTTATCAATAATTTTATAAGTTAATGATTCATCTATATACATACCAACTCCACCAGCAGCCAGTGGAGTTGGTACAAACTCAAAATTATAACCAGTCAACGATGGATTAAAGTCACAAATTGTAGAGTTAATTCTAGTTTCTGTAATTCTGATTACGCTAAAATGGTAATTTAGCTCATTCCAAAGATGTGTTTGAAAATTTTCTAAGTTTTTCTTTAAGCTTCTTACATTGTTATGAAGTATTGAGAATTTAAAGTGTATGTCCAGATGCTGGATAGACGTATTTTTTAACTTATTAAAACTGTGAGGAGAATAATAATTACAACGAATAAGTTGGGAAAAAGGTTCCGCGGTAAAGCCTATTTCGGGAGCTCCAGTATTCAGACTAAAAAGATCGAGATCATGGAGACTGATTAGACATTCGAGTTCTTTTTTAGTAGGTAAAGAATCTGACGTGTTATTCTTAAATAAACGGTGATATTGTGCATCATTAATACTATAAAATGGTAATTCTCGAAGAAGGTTATTATCTCTGGTGTTTTTAGTTGTATTGCTAGCCATATTTTAGTACATGCATCAATACACACTTACCTGTCATATACATACGCTTCAATTCCTTGGTTAACTTGTGCTTACAACTATGTTTGCCATATCGCTTCGTTGAGTTATTTTGATTGGGTTTGAGCCTTCCGTCTTTCGTAGATAGATCAATCCGTTCTTAGTCCAGCAGTAACTAAAGCCATTTTCATTTTGGAATTTTTTTGCTTCTGCTAACAGTTGTTGATTGCGTGGAGTTAAATAGTCATATACAGCTGCATACATCAACGTTGATTCAACAGGTAAACCAGAGCTGCTTGGGTCTAATTTCTTTAGATACTTCCTCGCCGCCATAACTTGCTCGCGGGCAAGGCGTCGAGTAAATTTACAGATAATCGGCTTTGGTTTATCATTTGTCTTCCTCGTTGGCACGAGGTGGGCAATATCAATGTCTTGTAAGGTTACTTCAGCTCCCATTTTCTGGAAGATTTTAGCACAAAGTTCGCTCGTTTCCTGTGCAGATTCTCTAGGTTTAAGATGTGGAATTCCCATCAGTTTTACGTTGTAGGAATAACTATACTGCTGGGCTTCGTCAAATGATTTGGACAGGAGTTCAACTCTTTTGGTTATTTCCGTTAGGCGTGATTCTAGACGTGAAATCTGTTGCTTTGCAGTGTTGCTAAAGCCTTTTAAATCATCATATTCCTCTCCCAAGTAGTTTAAACTCTTTTGCGTTTCCTCACTTGGTTCCTTACATTTCTGAGTATCATGATCGCTTTTCTTGCTATGAATTATGTCTTAAAATTTTTTAAAATCTGTTCTTAAATTTGCAATTTCCTCTTTTAAATCGTCGTTTTGTTTACGTAGTGACTTAATTGTGTCTTTATTTTGAGCCATTGAGGCAAAAGCTCAAATATTCAGAGCTTGGAATTAGATGTCTGCTATCATTGAGCAATCATCAAATTCAAGATTTTGTTTTTAGTAGTGTGGATCCCTTTGTGGAATGACTCAAATCAAGGCACTTGTCAATATTCAATATTTAGACATCTTCAGATATCATTTTTTCCCATCACAATTCACTTATTCACTGTCTTTTAATTGTCTATTAATGTGAAAGGTTTATAGTAAAAATTATATGAAACAATACCATTAGTTGTGGAAATTCTTCTTTTAGAAAAGAAGTCTTGGAAGTGAGCTAGTTGAGGAAAAGAAAAAGGAATATTGTAGTACTTTTAAGGGACAGAAACAGATCAAGTTTGGTTGATGGAAAGCTGGAGCCAGAGAATATGAATGAGGTGGTACAGATTTAATCATAAATTAAAGGATTTCTTTGTCAACACAGGAAGACAAATTGTGGGTTAAAGGGTTACTAAACTAAATTTTGTACCATTAATTACAAACCATAAAATGGTACACATTCTTGAGTTGCCTTTTTTGGTACATACATACAGTATATATCACCTGCTTAAGATGTGTACCTTACTTCCTTTTCACACAGGATATCAAAAGTGCACAGGCTGAAAATGTGGAGCATGCAGCAATTGCAAGTCATGACTAAACCTTAATACAACGTTCCCACCACATTGATTGCCCTAATTCATTTTGGCACACGTTGGTTGAACCTTGGATTTAAATTGATAATCTTGTTTATATTAACACTTATATTCTGACGTTGCACTAACGTTTGTTCAACATTGTTTTAACCTTCAATCTACATGTGATATGTTCGTTGTATAAACGTTACATTCTGACGTTGTGGCAACATTGATTGAAAGTTGAGATTAACGTTCAACCACGGTGACATTTTTGTTGTATCAACGTTACATTTCCACGTTGTGACAACATTGTTTGAAAGTTAAGATTAATGTTCGATAAGGGTGACAGTTACGTTGTATTAAGGTTACATTACCAGGTTGTGGCAACCTTAGTTGAAAGTCGAGATATTATGTTGCAGCAAAGTTACATTTCCATGTTGTGACAAGGTTGGTTAACTTGGTTGAAAGTTGATATTAATTTCAGTTTAAAGCAAAGTAACTATGATTGGGGCTGTTTTATATATGGTTCAATTTATGATTAAAATCGCTGTGCGCCGTACATTCGTTAGTCCGATAAGTTACTAATGCCGCTAAAACAAATAAATATAATGATCGAGGTTAAAGAACTCCAGTATAGGGGAACTTCTGCGCACAGGCTCATAAATCGATAACCATACACTAATATGTTGTATTTAACATTACCTTCACTTTATAGGTATATATTCGATATTGCCAAATGGCTGAAATGATATTATTAATATATTATATTAGATGACAGAAACTTTATTTGTTTCATGACAGATATAATTATTCCGAATTTATTTTTACTTTAATGCAGAAATGTATGCCGGTATATTTCAATACCATATATTGTTAGCATGAAATTCGGGTTGATGAAATTCGCAGGCTCAGATCGCTTTAATCACTTAAACAAACGCGCGTTTGTTACCCTTGGAAATTGGAATTAAGCTCTACTTTGCGAAGAAAATATTCTTTATTTCAATCATCTATTGAAAAATAGGTACGCGACGCATACATGTGGTAAGCCTGCAATGTGCCACAGTGCCAGAGAAGTCTGTAGAGAGTGAGTGACCCCTTTTGAAGTGTATCATGATTCTTAATTTCACTAGCTCCATAGCCTAACATATCCAACCATAGACCTTCATAACATCGTGTCAATGGATGATGGAGTCATTGGAGTGTTATGGAGGTCTATGGTTGGATATGTTTGGGTATGGAGCTAGCAAAATTAAGAATCTTGATACACTTCAAGAGGGGTGACTTAAAGTAACTACCAGTAAGTACAATGTATAAAATTAACTGTTTGATACTGTCGTACACTTGTTGAAAGTTTAATAGATTATGATGAAAAATTTTGATCACAGTCTAACTATCGAGTCGTTGAAGTGGTTTCACCATCAATAAAATTTTTAATAATAGTTATATGAGAAAAAAATAGCCAATCAGAATCCAGAATCTCGACAAAACTGAGTCATGATTTGCTTAATTCTATTATTTTTATTTTTTTTGTTAATCAATTAATTAATTGTTTGGAAAATGAGTCTCGCGCTGACAAATGTCTTCTGGTCCTGGAACATAACTTATTACTCATTTTTTTCCGTGACATCATTCGAGATGCGAGTGAACACCTGTACATTCAGATGTACGGACTCAGGAGCTCGCTGGTATCATTATATATTATTGGCAAATGAATGCAGAGTAAAAGTTTGGGCCTATTTGGCTTGGGCTAGCTGTGACTGAAAGTGGTTTATCCAGTCACCAGCACCCTTGGTTTGATTGGTTTCAGATGTTTCCATTTGCATGTGCTTTTAAATTTCTTTCATTCTTTGTGAGAAAAGAGGTGGAAGTCTTCTAGGTAAGGTAAAATTGTTTCCTTATTAGTTTATGTTATTAAACTTTGATGTATGAGTTTAGTGTGAATTTTTGCGGAACGTATTATTAAGCGGTAAGACTCATTGTAAGAGGCAGGAATTCGATGTACTCTATCATTGTGATGGAAGTATCAAGTATCTATAAAAAGTATTCATGCATATATTGTAGATACTTTTTTATTATTTATAAGAAATGACTAAATTATTAGGTTACTTTACTGATTTCTATTATACTGATTATATTGTAAATTCTATTACTAAAACTATGACTGAATGGGTAAGGATTTTGGGTTTTATATACTGCATCTTGATGCTGAAAAATATGAATTTTGTGTGATTTGAATATGCAATGTTAATGGTGTAATGGAGTGAATGTTTTTTGTTTTGCAGAGTTTTCTTTGTATGGCAAATGGAGATGAAAGTATTGCTGGTTATGTGCTAAATGTGTCACCTATACGAAAAGCCCCCCCAAAAAATTTTTTTGATTTTCAGTTACAAACTGAGAGTGAGACTTATGTCAGGGCAATATGCTTTTCCCCACCTAAATGGAAGTTATTTCAGGAATGAGAAAAAAACTCTACTTCTGTAAAAATCAAGAGATTTATGCACGACAAGAAAGCAGAGTCCACTGACATTCTAATGGGCGACCACATTGTTGTTGAACAACTAGAAGCCAAGGATCTCCCATTTACTAAAAATGTGTTAGTTCCAGTTGAATTTAACTTGTAAATGTTAAGTTCAATGTCTGTTGGGCAGGTCATAAATGTTAAAGCAACGTTAATGCAGCTAAATGAAGCGGAGACAGTGAACATGCCACAGGGGAAACTGAAGAAAGTTGATGGTTTACTGGTAGACCAAAATGGTTCTGCAAGGGTAACCTTTAGGAAAATGATATTGAAAAAGTCACATCAGGTGAAACATACCAATTTGAAAATATCAGACTAAAGAAAAACAAATATAATGGAGAACTTTATGTCAACCCGGCTAAAGGAATGGGAAGTATTTCAAGGTGTGAACCATTTGATGGGGACTTGTTTATTCCAGAATATGACCCAACTGAGCTAACAACATGTTCTATTGTGGGAGAAATTCTTGGTGTGATTGATGTCCACCTTGATTACTGTTGTGCAAGGTGTAGCACCAGTGTTAAAGAAGAGGAAACAACAAGATGCAAATCCTGTAACATAGCATTAAAGTTGAAGAAGTGTAAAAAGCAGTGGTATGTAAAAGCTTTGGCAATCCAGGATGATCTGGAAGCATTCTTGGTATTTCGCCATGAGACTGTCCTTAAGGTGGTGTTGCTCTCAGAAGGAGAGGGTGAGGTAATGGAATTATCAAAGAATTTTATCACCGAAAAGTTTTTTTCGCTAGCAAAATGTAAATTCACCTACAACAATAAGACAAAAGTTGTACAAAGTGTGGATCTTGCATAGTTTATGTTGAAAAGTTGTAGAAAGTGTGGACCTTGCATAGATTATGTTGAAAAGTTGTAGAAAGTGTGGACCTCACATAGATTATGTTGAAAAGTTGTACAGATTATGTTGAAAAGTTGTACAAAGTCTGGACCTTGCATAGATTATGTTGAAAAGTTGTACAAAGTCTGGACCTTGCATAGATTATGTTGAAAAGTTGTGCAAAGGATGGAACTTATAACATTGATATTCTGTTGCTCATGAGTTTTTGTTAATTTCCACATTCAAATATATAGCATTGCAAGCTTTACAAAATTCTGTATGTTTTGATTCATGTAACATTTGTTTGATGAAAATATTTCAGACAGAGGACTTTTGATTATTGTAAAATTTTATACTCATATTGCTAACAGTGCCAACCATTTTCTATCCTTGAGGTATATTGAGAAAAATTCAAGCATTGAAATGAAACATGTAAGTGCACAATATATTCTGGGAGAGTACTGTATCTGTTAGATAGTCATACTTACATACAGTAAGATACTCTAAAGAACAAAGTATGAAGTAGTTGAAGTTTGTTTTTTAAACTGATACTAAAAAAAGGATAATTAAACTTTGATAAACATTGTATGAAAAAGAGATTCAAGTCTACTGCTAATACAGATTTGTATAGTTTCTTTTCTATTATGTTTTTAATTGCTTTGTAAATTAGTGCATAATGACACATAAAAAAGGGGGTTTTAGTGACATATTGTTGATTCAATTTCATCGCCTCTCGTAAGTTATTAAACTATAATGATTGAGCCAGGTAACCGGCACGTCTTCGCCCAAACTTGCTTTCAGGTCTGTTCTTCACTTCTACAACATGTCGATCAATTCGTTGATTCATCTTCATTCACATTCGTCTATTCCTCCATGTTGTATTGTATTCAGTGAATTGTATATTGTAAATTCACAATTCTCAGCAAAGTATTGAGAATAGTTTGAAATCAGTAAGAGATTTACAGCTTTGTCTGTAATTCTGTAATGTTAAAGGAGAAAAAAAATAAGTGTATAGT